CCTCTCGGTCCGTGACCACGGAGTCCTCAGAGTCCGAGGCGGAGCCCGAGAGCGGGGGGGTGTCCATCACCGCCCGCCGGCAGGAGCGGGGTGGCGGAGGTCCGCGCCGCTAGCTGGGGATGACCCTCCTCGCCGGTGCTGCCCTCAGCGTCCCACGACCGCCCGCCGCAGCCCCACGTGCGCCCGCGCCACACCAGCTCTGACAACTACCAGCTCCGGCTCCACTTTCGGGCAGAACTTCCGCTTCCGGCCTCCGAAGCACACTTCCGGTTTGTCGTCGCTATGGGAACCGCTCCGGCGTCCGGAAGCGCTGCGGTGGCTTGGGCTCTCTAGGAGTTGCAACTCCGGATACGTGCGTGGTCCGGTGGACCCAAGGCGAAAAAGCGAAAGGTAGGAGGCGGGGCGGGGGGCTCCCTGGCATTCTTGGAAGATGCTGGGGGCACCAGGGAGCTAGGGAAAGGGAGGCGCTGGGAGCTGCTAAGGTGCGCGGTGGGTGAGACCTCTAGGGGCGGGGCAGGGGGCGTGTCCTTGGGGAGGGAGGGGCGGGGCTTCGCTCTCACCTGTCCTGTGGCGCTCCACCTCCAGCAGAACTCTGGCAAAGGACTATGTCGACCGTAGTAGCCCAGGCGCTGCATGTTTTTGGCTTCCGATCTCACGTGGCCAACAATATCTTCTTCTTCGATGAGCAAATCATTATCTTCCCTTCAGGAAATCACTGCGTGAAGTACAATGTGGATCAGAAATGGCAAAAATTCATCCCAGGTAAAACCCTTTCCATCCATCTTAGATTAGCCGACTCCTGAGTAGCTAGGATTTACAAATGTGAGCCACCAGAGCCTAGCATGACTTGATTCTTTTGTTCATCATTATCCTTTTGTGATTCATATATCTTAATACCTATAGCTAATCTCATTTTATTGCAACAGAATCTTACAACCTGTGACTATGATGTCTCAAATATGCACAACCGTTGGAAGTTTAAGAAGTATTTGGGAAGTAAACTATTAAATTCTGATAATTTGCTATTAGAAATCATACCACTGGGAACATTTTTGTATTCATATATTATGCAACTTCACTTATTCAAAGATTCTTCAGAACTCACAACCAAGACTAAAACTGCTTAGATAGTATCAATTTACATTCCCACTTGTAGCCTAAGGGTCCTTATTCCTTACAACTTAATATTCCCTACAACTCTTGATTTTCAACTTTTTGGTGAATCTGGTAGTTGACAAAAGGTATCTTATTGTAGTTTTAACTTATTTCTATTAGTAATGAACATGATGAGTATCTTTTCATGTGTGAATGGAATATTCCTACCTAGTTTTATTTTTAAGCATCTTGCTCACATTTTGTACCAATTTTTGATCATTTTTGTGGGGTTTGGGTCTTGGGTCTTTCTTACTGATTTATGAATACACTGTATATTAACCGTACATTCTGTACATTAATGATACAGCTGTTATAAATATTTCCAATCTGGGTCTTGTATTTTATGCCTCCTTTTGGTGATAGGCAGAAATTCTTGGTTTGAGTGAAATCAATTATTAAACACCATGTAATTTGCTGTTGGAATAAATAACACTGTTATTTACTTATTTTTATGCCCAGCATATTTGCTAAACTATAATTAATTCTAATGAATTATCTATAGACAGTCAGATGTTTCTACAGAGACATTCATACTGTCTATATATAACAATATACTTTTTTTTCTTGTGTTTCTGACTGGCAAACACCTCCAGAGAGAGTTGACTAGAAGTATAAAAATGGACATCCTGTCATGTTTCTGATCTTAAAGGGAATCATTTTAAGATGTCTTACTAACGAAGAATGCTTAATGTATAAACTTATCAACATTCTTTAACAGGCTAAACAGTTTTTTCTAAGCCAGGCGGGCACTTGAAGAAAAATCTGTGAGACTCTTATCTCCAGTTAATCAGCAAAAAGCAAGACGTGGTGCTGTGGTTCAAGTGGTAGAGTGCTAGCCTTGAGCTGAAGATCTGAGGGATACCACACAGGCCCAGAATTGAAGCCCCATGACCACCAAAAAAAAATCCTTTCTAATTTGCTGCTTTGCCCCCAGTGAACAAATAACTGAATTTTATTACATACATTTTCTATATTTTTTCTTTTTTTTTTACATTTTCTATATTTTTTCATAATACTACTAACATTTATACTAGACATCAATTTATTCAGATATTCACCTATATTTGCTCTTGTATGTATCAGGTATTGCCACCATTAGAATTCAATGCAGTACTAAGTTCTTAATGTTTTATTTGTCTAAAAAAGGCCTTTTTGTCATTCTCATTTTTGAAAGATAGTTCAACTAGTTTTAAGATTTTTGTATAGAGGTCTGTTTCATTGGGTTATTTTTGTCTTCTCATTTGTTATGGTGGTTAACAAATTATCCATTATTGCCGGGTGCCGGTAGCTCACGCCTGTAATCCTAGCTACTCAGGAGGCTGAGATCTGAGGATCACGTTTCAAAGCCAGCCTAGGCAGGAAAGTCCGTGAAACTCTTATCTCCAATAAACCACTCAGAAAACCGGAAGTGGCACAAGTGGTGCTGTGGCTCAAGTGGTAGAGTGCTAGCCTTGAGCTGAAGAGCTGAGGGACAGCACCCAGGCCCAGAGTTCAAGCCCCGTCACCAACAAAAAAACAAAACAAAAAACAAAAAAAAAGAAAAGAAAAGAAAGAAATTATCCATTAAATCTTTTTTTCTGCAGATGATCAGACTTTCCTCCTATCTTCTTTAAGACCCTAGCTGTCTGCGTGTGTGTGTGTGTGTGTGTGTGTGTATGTATGTATGTATGTATGTATATATTACTTTTATTTTTCATCCTCCTAAGAATTCCCTGGGGTCCTTGGACCTAAGGCATGATGTAGTTGTTCTAGAGAATTTTTAACAGTTGTCACATCAGATATGGTATCCGTGTGTGTGTGTGTGTGTGTGTGTGTGTGTGTGTGTCTGTGTCTGTGTCTGTGTGTCTGTGTGTCTTTGTGTCTGTGTTTCTGTGTGTCAATATCTGTGTGTCCTGGTACTAGGATTGAGCTGAATGCCCTGTGCTCTCTCACTTTTTTTTTTTTTTTTTGGTCATGGGGCTTGAATTCTAGGCCTGGGTGCTATCCCTCACCTCTTCAACTCAAGGCAAGTAAGTACCCTACCACTTGAGCCAAGGTGCCACTTCCTGTTTTCTGGTGGTTTATTGGAGATAAGAATCTCACAGACATTCCTACCCCAGCTGGTTTTGGACTGTGATCCTCAGATCTCAGCCTCCTGAGTAGCTAGGATCATAGGTGTGAACCACTGGTGCCTAGCTTCTCTCACTTCTTTTTCACGCAAGAATAGCATTTTACCACTTGAGCCACAACACCATTTTTGGCTTTTTTTTATTGACAGTAAATTGGAGATAAGCATTTCATGGACTTTTCTGTCCAGGCTGGCTTTGAACTTTGATCCTCAGATCTCAGCCTCCTGTGAGTAGCTAGTATGAACCACAGGTGACAAGTTTCAGATATTGCATCTTTTTTTTTTTCTATGACAGTCATGGGGTTTGAACTCAGGGCCCAAGCAGTCCCTGAGCTTTTTCGCTCAAGGCTAGCATTCTACCACTTGAGCCACAGCTATGCTTCTAGCTTTTTGGTGTTTAATTAGAGATGATGGTCTTACCAGCTTTCTTGCCTGGTCTGGCTTTGAACTGCGATGCTCAGATCTCAGCCTCCTGAGTGTCTAGGGTTACAGACATGAGCCACAGGTGCTTGTCAAAGTATCTTTTTCATTCTATTATCTTCTCTGGAACTCGACCATCCAAACACCATCCTCCATGATTTTCCATGTCATCAACTCCCTCTGTTATGTACTAGATACTTCCTTTAGGGCTTTTTTTTTTGTCTTGGTTTCATTGATTCTTTTTCAGCTGTATCTAACATACCACTTGAGGTATTCACTGAGATTTAATTTCTCATTTGCTTATATTTCATACATGTACCACTCTTTTTCTTCTCCAAACTCACTCTTATATCACCAGGGGCCTTGTTTCTATGCCCGTGGATCCTCCCAGCTACAGGTTCAAGTGTTGTCCACATACTCTCTAAGCAGCTACCCTTTTATCTCTCTTTAGGCCTAGGCCAAGGGTAGAGACGAACCTGGGAAGACACCAATGCCCATCTTATGAGCAGACTTAGAACCGTTTGAGCATGGAATTCCAGGGTTCTGGGGACCTAGACCATAATCTAGAATAGGCAATGCAAACGCCAGGTGGCCTTTGGTTCCATATCCCGGTAAGGGATACAGTCAGAGGATAGTGACTCTAAAATATGGGCCCCCAAAAAACCATGCTAGCCAGTTTCCTGGTAAAATTATGACTAGCCAGGTCATGAACTGGAGAGATCTGATTTCAATCTGGCTCTTCATTTCATAAGGTCACAGAGCCTCATTTTCATCATTTGTAAAATGGAGATGATACCTAGCTTGTTCTCATCACAGAACCATGATGGAGTGCAAACATACTCATTTGTTCATTCAACAGAAGTTTATTAAGCACTTCCTGTGTGCCAGACACAAAAATCACACACACACACATACACACACACCTGGAATTCCATGCACAGATGGTTCTAAGTCTGCTCATAAGACCGAAGTCTCAATAAATGTAATCTTTTAAGCCAACGTCAAATGAATGCAATCTTCACTGCCACTCTTAACCCCCTCAGTCTATCTTCCGCCCACCTGGGTGTCCCATTCCTCTCAGACACCACTCATGTCTCTCTCAATCCCTTACCCAGGGAATCACTAAGTCCTACCGGTTCTTGCTTAGCATTTCTCTAGTTTCCATCCTCTCCATTCCTATCACTATCACTGCCTTCATGCAGCTTATTGCTACCATCATCTCTGCTTCTTCAAATAGTGCTGGACAGTTTTCCTCACTTCCTCTCCCCACCCCACCCAGTATTGTCTTCCATACAATTGCTGGAGAGGGCTTCCTACAACACTCATCTGACCCTTCCTAAAATTTATCTTCATTGCCTCCCACGTAAAGTCAAAACTCTGCAAGTCTCTCCATGCCCCAGAACCCACTCCTCAGGTGCAGTTGTTCCCACAGGCCTTCCAGTGGAGTTCTGTGTGCTAGGCGGGAATGTTGCTGGGAGACTTGATCTTTCTCCTTGGCTTGCTGTGAAGCAGCAGCATGGAGCCCATCACAAAGGGACTAGCACATTTTC